AAAAGAAAGTCATGGGTTTCATCAGCTCATAATAAATAACACCGACTTAGTCCCACCAAATACACAGCATAACCTTCGCAGCGTGAATATTCGGCCGAGCCGACGGCGTAGAAGCATGACCGAGCAGTCCCCATGACTTTCTTTTCCTTGAGTTGCTGTAATGAATCGATTTTTCATCACCCGTCACGATGCGATGAAGAAAACCCTTCCTTTTTTGCCGCTGGAGCAGTTGTTCACAGGCGAAAAAACGACACTCAACGTGCCTTGGCTTCAAATCATAAGGAACCCAAGTTCCTTGCTTTTGAATCATTCCCAACGCATGCAGTCACTTGGAAATGGCTTGGCGGGTAACTCCTAATGATGAAGCAAGCTGTTCTTGCGTTTGGCATGGATCCTCATTGAGCAATGTCTTCAATTCAGCGTCTTCGAAGGTTTTTGGCCTTCTTTCACGCGGACGGTCGTCAACATCGAAATCACCGTCTTTGAAGCGACGGAACCAATCACGGCACGTTGTTTCATTTAAAGTAGCATCTCCGTAAACTTTTTGGAGCTCTCGATGAGCTTCAGCCGTCGTTTTCTTCAAATGAAATAAGAAAATCAACACTTCCCGCAAATGACGATTATTTGGCACAAAATCAGACATTTTCACACAACCAAAAGTATATGACGCCAAAACAAAATCACTAACGTGTCAAAGCGGTTTGTTTACAATATGTCTAAGCTTGCATCATGATGTTTTGGATATGTCAAAATTGACCAACACTTACTGCTGGAGCCATCTCTTGACAAACAGCGAGAACTTAGTTGCGCACCTAATATCATTGATCATTTATCAAAAATTGAACATACACAGAATGTTTTTGAATTGTAAAATATCTCAAAAAATATAAGTTTTATAAAAAATGTTTCAGACAAAAGTCATTAGATTTAAAGAGTTCTATTTATAAGTCTTATCAGTTTGGTTGGAGTCGCCAAAATCAAATCAAGCCTTCAATTTTTTTAACGGGACCTAGTATTTTTTATCGCATATTCTTATAACACTTTTTGAGACTTTTTTGAAACATTATAATTTTATTTTCTTTAGATCAGCTTTGACGTTATTGAACTTTTTATATTAAGATGTCGGCGACTACAGCTGTATCCAAAATAAAATTAATGAGAGGTCCACTATCGTTTAATTCTTGCGTATGAAAGAGGAAATTGATGTGTCTGTAGATGGCAAATAGGAGTAGGGTATAATAAGATTGGAGAAAGGTTGAGGAGAAAGTGGTTTGGCGGTGAGATTGGTGCAGTACATGTGTGTGTGTGTGTGTGTGTGTGTGTGTGTGAGAATCAGTTACTCAAGATGTTTTTAAAATACTACATGATATTTACGCAGTACAGGCCAACTGTATAAATATAACAAGAATTTCAAATCAATTGACACCTTACCAGAAAGAACTCGATAACTTCGGAACGGTTGACCCAAAGCGGATAAAATATAGTTTGTTAGTTTTTACGAAGTCTCAAAAAAACTATAAGAATATGCTATAAAATGTGTCCCATTAAAAAAATTCAAGATAAACTTGATCTGAACTTAACGACACCTCCAAGGTCAAACTTACATTTTTTAAGATATTTCATCATCCCGGAACTTTTTATACATTTTATATATAATATAAATATAATAAGCGATTTCTCAATAAATGTATCTTTAGTGTCGCAACGATGACGCACATAAGATGCATATATACCATGAATAGTCTGTTTTTGCGGCGCATTACAATTCTGATCGGTCGACGTAGCGGAATACAAAATTAGCGATTCAATCATAATCATATGTACAATATTGTCTGTGCCGAACGCAAATACTAGACATGATCGAAGTTTGGCCAGATTCTTTCCAATTGGATGACTGTTTGCCCTTGTTAGTTCTCGGTATAGTGTCGATGATCAAACTGGTCTGTGTTGTGTACACATTACCGGAGGTGCGTAAATAAATAAATAAAAGAAAGAAATAAAAAAAGTAGCAACGTTTGCAGCATCCGATAAGTATCGGATGAAACGATTACAATTTAGGCTGAACAATCAAACAATACGAAATCTTACTTAAATCGACTTCGAGCTACAGATAAAGATACTTCTGACGAAGATCCGAGATTATTGCCTATCCTCAAAATCGACCGAAGAGTAGTATACTGCATTTGTACGCGATGTATGGCCGAAATTTAAGCTACGCTTACACGGGTGAGTTTATATTTATCTGGAGCAACGATAATTTAATATGCTTCCATTCTCTCGCCTTCCCCTTTATCTTTCTGTTTTTGTCTTACGTTAGAAAAGTTTTGTTCAGCCACACCGTCGTTTTCGTGTTTGTGACTTTGTTAACTAAACTTCTCGACACGGAAACCGGCGACAATAATTCATCAAATATTGCACTTACGACACGCAAGTGGGACTGCTTTACTACATCAATTACGTGGTAATCGACATAGAGAAGCATTACATTCTGATTTTAATACATAGCTCCACGTATGTCGTGTTTTACACACTCTTGATGATCATATTCTATGTATTGTATTTTACATTCGTCCAGCATTGCTGCGATTTGTTCGTGGCTCTGAGGTCATTCTATGGTCAATTTTGATGTGAGATCAAATATTCAGTGCAGAAACGTTTTTTTTTATATGTCAGACATAAATGATTAAATTCTAATTAACGCTTGGAACATGCGGTTGAGTTTGAAAATTATGATTATGATTTAATGTATTAACATTAAATCGACCGCATAATGTATTAATATCTTTAGTCATTAACGAAGAAATAGAGATAAGATTCACCCATTAAAGCCTATGATCATTAAAGCCTATAAAACAGTAAGGTTAACAAAAAAATAAATATTGGAAGCAGAACCGGAGAGTAAAAAAATATTACTGACCTACAGCACATCGCAAAAATCAATTTTGAAACAAATTGTTTAACATTAAAAAAAAATTATTAAACATTAAACATTGAATGTAAAAGAAAATCGATTAAGACAATAGATTCTACAGAAAAATGTAAAAATAGAAATACATATAACTTTTTCCCATGTCATTCTCCATTTATGCAAAAAAAGATTAATAAATATCACTGTTTTATTAAAACTCATAGTAGCCCATGGCTAGACGAGTGAGGTTAGTAAAAAAACCATAATTGAAAATAAAACCAGTGAACGGAGAAATTTTTAACATAAAAAGCAAATCACAAAAAACACTATTTTCCAAATTTAGGATAAACGATTCAAATTTATCACAACTTCATTCTGTAAAAAATTATTGCAATATTGACTTTGTAATGTGCTTTTTATATCAGAAATGTTTTTTCACGTTTCGGTTTTATTTTAAATTGTTGGTTATTGTTTACCTTATTTTCTAGCCATAGGTTTTAATAGATTGTTCTTATGTTCTGGTTATTCACGGAATAATGTAATTATTTTGATCAAAGTATATCGAAAAATATATAAATTTTTAATATATCTGTAGATACAACGTAGTGTGGTACAAAATGTATACAAGAAAAAGAATCTTCTCATAAAAATCATGTTGAGAAGCAAGAGACCTTTTCAATTGAACGAGGGTAATTTTGTTATCCTGTCGTACTTGAAATTCAAATAGGTAAAATTTTTCCAAACCAATATGGATTGTCATTCTTTAAATTGACGTGAGATAATTCTCATCCGATTCAATTTAAGGTGTTACGCGCATCGTTATCGTGTTTTATGCTATTATGGTCTATACAGTGAGTATTCCAGATGTAATGAACGATATTTAGGTATGTTACACTACTGTTGATACACTACGCTTTAATAATGTATTATTTATACCGTATATTTTAAAGGCAACCGAACTCCATAAATTTTACTTTTAATCTTTCCCTTGTATATACATTTTATTAGTAAATGTTCCACAGTTGTAAGTGTGATAAACATCCTGAACATCCAAAATATTTGCGAGTTAATTATTGCGTTGAACCCAACACGTAAAGTAAGCGATTAATATACAAACAATCTAAACAATAGTCTCTGAGGATATCTCTTAAATATACGGATGTCGCGCGAATAGAAAATCTAATTTCTATAGATTTGGCACTCATAGACCAGAATCGACAATCTTCTTCAGTTGTACACAACATGTAAAGGGAAGCGACCAAAGCATTTATTATTCATCGAATTTTTAAAGCAACGTGTTTATGTTCTTGCATGTTGCACATGATCCACAAAATCTCATAATAACGAAACAGTCGCAGATTTACAATTATTATGGCACATTTCATACAACGGTTAATTTTTCTATAGAGTTTAATTTGCGGTCGCCTTCGAGTTTAATTCACAAAAATTGTCAGAGAACCAGGCAGAGATAAAGGTACGTCGGATGTTCATAGTTAGACTTGTCATCGATGATAATCCTCGAGCATCAGTGTTCGCATGTTTACTGTATCGAACAGAGAACCGTGAAGTAAGAGAATGACGAGCGCATGACCTTAAAAAAAGCAATGGGTCAATGCGAATCCGGCACATCAACTCTCATTCAAAAAAAGTTTCCTTACTGCGGCGAAGTTCTCCAAGTTCAGGGTGTACAGCTTTCCCGCGGTTATCTTAATTGGCTTGTAACTTCTCATTAACATAATGCTGAGCATTTTTCTCACGCTCAGTGAAGACTGATACCATCTTCCGCTGGTTCTGAAAAACCGACGTGTACAATTGTCTTCGCGCTTTAATGGTATCATATGTTTTATTCAGACGACTATGCTTACTGAATTTATATGAATGGTGCTTCGCGTGATATATTAGTTTGAATCAGAAATAATTTCCATGTTCTTCTTTCTTTCTTAAAAAAATGTATTTTCGTATGAGACATCTCAAATAATAGAATCTAATTTAATATACTCATTTTTATTAATAATGGCTTTTACTCCCAATGAATAGGAAATTTAATGATTCTCCCTGCGAATATCCAGGAAAAAGTAAATACTTGTTATCTTCATAGGAAGTTATTTTTGATCCGACTTAATGTGTATAAAATATTTTTAATCGTGCACTCCTCAAAATTGGAATATTATTTTATATCACTAAATAGTTCGAATAAATTACGTCCAATCAAAGTATTTTCAGTAAAGTATTTTCAGTAATAAGCGTTACCAGGTGTATGCATAAGTTTTTTCCGGTTTTTTGGTAAAAAAAAACACGTAATTTTCAAGGGAAATTAATTTTTTTTTTAATTTAAAATATTGGCCATCAGCTTCTACACATTTCGCCCATCTTTCAGATAATTTATGAATACCATGCCAGAAAAACTGCTTGTCTTTTGCGGCAAACCATTCGTCGAGCCATTTTCCAACTTCCTCGAAATTGCTGAAGTGCTGTTCTGCGAGCTCGTGCCCCATTGATGCGAAGAGGTGATAGTCAGATGGCGCCAGGTCTGAGGAGTACGGCGGGTGCGGAAGGATGTCCCATCCAAGCGATTTCAAGCTGTCTTTCACTGGTTTTGCTGTGTGAGACGGCGCATTGTCGTGTGACAAAATCACTTTGCCATGTCTTCTGGCCCATTCCGGTCGTCTTTCGATTAATGCGTGGTTTAAATTAATCATTTGTTGGCGATAGCGTTGTGTATTAACGGTTTCGCCGGGCTTCAAGAGTTCATAATACACAATACCGCTCTGGTCCCACCAGACACAGAGCATGGTCTTCTTGCCGAAGCGATTTGGCCTTGGTGTTGATGGACCGGCTTCGCCAGGTGAAAGCCACGATTTTTTCCGCTTCGGGTTTTCAAAATAAATCCATTTTTCGTCACCCGTCACAATTCGATACAAAAATGATTTCCTTTCGTGGCGTTGAAGCAGCATTTCACAAGTGACTTTGCGATTTTCCATTTGACGTTCATTCAAATTGTGTGGGACCCATTTACCGAGTTTATTGATCTTTCCCATTGCTCGTAAACGTCTGCTGATTGTTTCTTGTGATACATGTAATGCTTCTGCTAATTGCCGTTGAGTTTGAGTTGGGTCATCATCCAATAACTCCTGCAATTGCTCGTCTTCGCATTTTTGTGGTCTACCAGAGCGCTCACTGTCTTTCACATTGAAATCACCATTTTTAAATTGTCGAAACCATGTCTCACATGTTCTAATCGATGGAGCGTGTTCACCATATGTTTCTACCAGCAAACGATGACTTTCAACAGCCTTTTTCTTTTGATTAAATAAGAAAAGCAATGCGTGCCGCAAATGTTCTTTTTCAGGCACAAAACTCGACATGATCACTGAACGATAAAACAAAGACGCTAGTTTTTGGCGGACTCAACTTGTGTGTGTTTGTAGTTTTAAATGTCAGACGAACAAAATGACGTATGTGTCAAATTAATACGCTGCGTACTTTTCGCTGGCGCCAACTCTTAGTTAAACCGGAAAAAACTTATGCATACACCTGGTATATGGTACTTACACATATGTGAAAATTTTATCTGTATAATCTGATAACTGCTGACCCGGCCAACTTTCGAGAAAAAGGACAGAAAGCAGAGTGACTGTGAACGACGCATACCGCATTGCTTGCTTCGGATCGTTCAATTTTACCGTCGCCTAATCGTAAATATGAGTTTTCTTATTATTTTTTGGCTACCTAAATGCAAATACATACAGAAATAATTTCTGATATTAAGCACAACACTCTAAAATCGTTTGCATGTAGCATCGCCTATAGTGCATTATCGGTAATAATACTACGATCGTAAGTACTCTTATCTGTGTCTGCACTAACTTGGAATATCGTAAAAGTTATGCCGATCATGTTGAAACCTAATTGAAAAAAGTATGATGTCGTATTCGCGTTTTCGAGGCTTTTAGCATATCTTCAAATCCGAAAAAAGTTACAGCATTTGTTAATAATAACACATATATATGTTATATCTAAAGCGTAAGTTCCAGCAAATATATATGTCGCAAAACGTTCATCAATTTGGTAATTGTATTAAGAAAATTCAACTCTCTATTTTATAAGATAAAATGTCTTGAGCATAAGAAATATTATTTTATAAAAGAAAAAGCTATATTTCTCATAAAAACGTCCAATTTGCAAGTTTTCTACGACATTAGCTAATCGACAAATTTATTATTATTATCGGAAGAACAATTTGAAGAAATAAACAAAGTATATGTTCGCTGAACCTTATATATACCACTTTAACTTTGACGTGTAAGAAACTTAAATTACACATAAAATACTACATTGAGAAACAAGTGTTTGATATTCGTGATTATAATTAAATAGTGATATTATATAGCAAAAAAACTATTTTATAAGTGTTACTATAATATTATTGACAATATACTATTATTACTTTGATTTGTTAAAACAACAAAAAAATGGTTAATGCCCAATATGACTTTAATATAATTACTTATAATTTAAATGAAATTAAACATTTTAATTTCTGTCAGTGTACGAGTGCTATCATTTTAAAATTGAGAAAAATAGTGACAAGACACAAAGTGATAGTTTAAATATACTAACTCTATTATGTGGCTATGCATAATAACGCAATTCTTAGCGTGTTTGTACGCTATATCCTCTCCTCTACTCGGACGTAAATCTACGTCTAAAATAGTCTCATCGATAATCCGTGATAGCCGATATCTAAAAAATGCTCAATGATGAGCATATTTCAAGCGTGAGGCGACGTGGAAATTATCAAGATTTAATCGCACGTAATTCGAATGAGTCGAAACGTTTGAGTATCAGTCGAGAAATTTAAACGTCGCTGTCTTTGTCTTGCATATGTGAGATCGTCTATTATTTGGTGTCTTTACGATACGGTACCATATGGATCAGATAAAGTCAGGTAATATGCGCATTAATAAAAACATTCTACGACAAGAATGACAGATATTTATTGTAGAGTCCTCCTTCATCTGTTCGGCAACAATTAAGTCACATGATAAAAATATATGTTTCTCCACTTCAAAGATATATAAATACGTAAAAGTGACAAGTGACAGAATGCGAGACGTTCGTTGGTATTAGATGAGACATCACCGAGATCTCTTTTCTCGTGAGAGATGCACATATATAGAAATGCGAATATCCACACGAGATGCGTGAAGTGCGCTTCGAATGAGGATGCTGTTTCTTTTCTTATAAAATGCCGTTTTTGCGGAGTTACCCAAGGATCTCGCACATCCCGCACTCATGTTGGACGTGGAACACCAACATCGAGTCGATCGCCACGACGATCGAGACGAAGCCGAGGGTGCCGATGTATGAATGCACCAGCAACGGATAATAATACTTTTCTACGTCCAAAAGGTAGTCCGAACGAAACATCACGGGTCTCCCTTCGGAAATATTGTACAATCCCATATAGCTAACTGTGTTTAATATTACCGGCACAGTCAGAAAAGGAGTCATAGAGCCGTAAAGAGAAGCTGTAAATGCGATATTATCAATCAGCAACTCTACCGATGTCAATCGTTGCGATATGAACAGAAGCGATATTTCAATTCTGTTTATAGCACGTAAACCAACAAATTTTACTCACCGTCTCTTTTCTCTCTCTGTGTGTGTGTGTGTGTGTGTGTGTGTGTGTGTGTGTGTGTGTGTGTGTGTGTGCGCGCGCGCGTGTGTGCACGCATGTGTGCACGCATGTAGAAGAAAGACATACATACTATAAGTCTCTCTTCAAAATGACATATACCTATTTAGACAAATAAAATATTGTACTTCATCAAAATTATGAGAGTGCATCAAATATTCACGAGCCTTTTGAAAAAGATATGTATTTTTCAAAATCAATTCTAATTTACATTTTTCTAGCTATTCTACATAGTCCCCCATCTTATACTCGTCCTATAACTATACACATCCTCCAACGGTCTGGTAACATTTTAATTCCAGTATCATACAAAGTTCGCGGACGTGTACCAAACCAATTGCACACGAACTGCTGCACCTCCTCGTTCGTTGTAAAGCGCTTTCCACCAAGGAAATCCTTGAGTGGCACAAACATATTGCAATCGCATGGTGACAAATCTGGGCTGTGCGGTGGATGTTTTAGGACAGCCCAAATTTTTCACCGTGCGGTGCATATTGACCAATTTTTGTTGTGTTACTGCTGCGGTGTGAGGTCTGGCGTTGTCATAAAGATGCAACACACTTCTAATTGGAGTACAGCGGCTTTTTGACCGACAGGCAGCTCGAATTTGTCTAAGAAGATCACAATAATAGGCAGCATTAATAATTCGACGTTCTTGAAGAAAATCGACCAGCAGAACGACATTAGAGTCCCAGAACACTGTAGCTAAGTCCTTCCCTGCAGACAACCGCGTCTTATTTTTCACCGGTGCACCCATGCAAGTCTTGCACCAATCCATACTGACTTTCTTCGATTCAGGGGTGTAGTGATGGATCCAAATCTCATCGCACGTGATGATTTTTTCCAAAAAGGCGTCACCTTCCTCCTCGTACATCGTTAGGAGCCTCCGAGAAATTTCAAACCGCACGGCTTTCTGCTTTGCATTCAGCAACTTGGAACCCAACGAGGCGACATTTCTAAATCCCAACTCATTACGAATGATTGATTGCACACTTCCATAGCTGATCAGAAGTTCTTGAGAGATTTCAAGAACAGTTAAGTGCCGATCGCCTTCGATGAGTTTTGAACAGCCTCAGTATTCTGCGCTGTGACGCTAGTGCGGGGACGGCGGCAATGTTTTCAACACGCTCACGTCCTTTCTTAAATTCGTTACATCACTGCTTTACTCAAGCTAATGAAAGGGGTTTTTCCCCAAACTGTGGGAATAAACGGTGCCGAATTTCAGCAGCACTTACTTTTCGTTGACGTGAAACTTAATAATAACACACTGTGCAACTGCAGGGTGTACCTCTTTCTCGCTCATCGTGATTGCTGCTGAGAGTAAGAAGCACGTGGCGCGCCAACGTTATTACTGTCTTCCACATGACCCCCTCCCCCCCACTGTCCAAAACGTTGCAGAACCCTTACGCCGCCGACGGGCGCTCAATTTAAAAAGGCTCGTTTATATTTGATCCATCCTCGTAATAAAGCCTTTGTTAATTTGCAATTAAAACTTGTTTACAATTAATTCCTGTATTATTTGCTAATTTGTCTATAAAATCTATCAATTTTCATCAAGTTCGTAACATTCCAAATTTGACTACATCTACTTTCTTTGATGACTTATTTTAAACAGCAGTGAATATTTTTATCGACAATAAAATAAATAATAAAATAATAAAATTATTCCATATACAGTAAAACCTCGCTTAACGCTGCTCCGTTTAACTCTGTTTTAGTATTACGCGGTAGTATTGGGATTCCCCGAAATCGCACGCGGTATTGGTATTTGTAGTATATGTGTGAAAATGAAGCGGTCATGCACCAACCATAAGCATTGCACTATGCAGCGACGGTGCACACTATATATTTTTTCGACGTTCTTTCGTTAATCAGTTCAGAATAAAGGTTCGAACAGTAATCCCCGAAATCGCATTACAGTACGAACGCATCTTTCTTGCGTCATAGTTGATTTATAAGCAGTCATCAACGTTATTGTGTGTATAAAGATATAAACATAATATTTTATTTTATTGTAATAAATTTGGCAATTTTTAGTTCTCACAATGGGTGATTGCAAAGAAAAAGATAGTAAAGCGACAAAGAAAGCATTTCGCTAGAAAATAAAATGAAGATGTTAAGACGATTAGATGCAGTCCAACGGCAATCTAATATCGGCACTGCATTAAATTTGTTAACTGCAATAATACGGACAATTTTAAAAATAAAAAAAAATCGTATCATGAACAACTACAACCAAAACGACTTCTGCAACAAAAATTACCAGTTCCAGAATCAATGTGATTGAGGAAATGGAAAAACGACTTTCCATCTGGATTGACAATGAAGTTAAACGTTACGAGGGCGGTTCAATAAGTACCCGTGTTAGACGACAGAGGGCGTTCCTGAGGGAAGTTGGTGTTATCATCGTGTGCTGTCATCTATCAAACGACGGCAAAACAAATTGCAGACTGATTGATATGTTAGTTTGGATCTGGCAGCCATTCGAGTAAGACGTGTTTTGTGATTTTCGCTAAGATGGAAAAAGAGCAGTATCGTTCGGTAATTCGCTTTTTGATTTTGGATAGGAAAAAATGCGAGGAGATAAAAGCAAATTTGGATGCTGTTTATGGGGACACTTCGCCATCTACGACCACAGTTATATATTGGTTCAACGAATTTAAACGTGGGCGAACATCCGTTTTTGATGAGGAGCGACCAGGACGCCCGGCAGACGTGGTATCGCGGAAATCATTCAAAAAGTCCACCACATGATTCTCGCTGATCGACGAACGAAAGTGCGCGAAGTAGCAAAGGCCGTAGGTGTGTCGACCGGAACGGCAATTAATATTTTACATAATAAGTTGGCGATGAAAAAATTGTCGGTTCAATGGGTGCCGCGATTGCTCACGGAAAGTACATTCATCCGGAGTTGTCGCTGACAAACTGCATGAATTGCGTTATGAATTGCTGCCGCACCTCCCGTATTCACCCGATCTGGCTCCTTGCGACATTTTCTTGTTCCCTAACATGAAGAAATGGCTCGCGGGAAAAAAATTTAGCTCAAACGAGGAAGTCATCGCCGAGACAGAGGCGTATTTTAGAGAGTTCGACAAATCCTATTTTTTGGAGGGGTTAAAAAAATAGCAGGAACGTTGGGAGAAGTGTATCTTTCTAAAAGGGGACTATGTTAAATAATAAAAAAAGTTTTTTTGAAAAAATGGTGTCTTCATTTCTAACACGGTACTTATTGAACCGCCCTCGTATATGCCATTAAGTCAAGTAATTAAAATGAAAAAAGCGTAAACAATTTTTAACCATATTCAGAATGAAAAAGGCGACACCAGTAAAAATTTTGTAGCTAATCGAAATTTTGTAGCTAGTCGTTTCATCGATTTAAATACAGAAACAATCTTCATAACATACAGATTATTGGATAAGCAGCAAGTGGAGATCCAAAAGCAGCTGCTGCATTTCCAGCGACATTAAGAGCAATCATTGAACGAAGGAGTTATCATCCTAAATTAGTTTTCAATTTGGATGAAACAGGTCTTTTTTGGAAGAGAATGCCAAAACGTACATTTTTGTCCCGTGAAGAAAAGCGAGTACCAGGATTTAAAGCTTCAAAAAATCGTTTAACACTTCTACTGGGTGGTAACGTTAATGAAGACTTTAAATTAAAACCACTGAATGTTTATCATTTTAAAACCCCAAGAGCAATAAAGGGAATTTCAAAATTAACTTCTCTAGTAATTTTGGAGTGCAATAAAAGATTTTGGATTTTTATGAAAATTTTCAGAATTGGTTTACCGAACATTTTTGCCCGTCTGTTAAACGCTATACCATTACCAGGTATACAGTTACGCTATATAATTAACATTCACTACTGCGAATTTAAAAAAAAACTAAAAACGAAAGTTTTACTTTTGATTGATAATGCTCCCAGCCATCCAAAGCATTTGTCCGACTTAACAACATGCATTCCAATAGATGTGGTTTTCCTGCCGCCAAATACAATTTCAGTAATCTAACTAATGGGTCATAAGCGTAATATCAAATTTTAAAGCTTATTATCTCCGGCGGACATTTCGACAACTGATTGATAAAACCGATATAGAAGCTAAACAAACCATTAGAGATTTTTGGAAAAATTATAATATCATGGATGCTGTAGACAACATCAAGCATTACTGGAATGAGGTGATAGAGAAATGATTGAAAGGAGTATGGAAGAATGAGTGGCTGAAGCTAAACTAAGATGCTGACACAATAGAATCCATTGTTGATGTCGATGAAATTGTCAAGCTAGCTAATGAAACAGGGTTGGATAATATAAATGCGCAGGATATGGAAGTATTATTGCAAGTTACAACTGGTTAAAGTTTTCTAATGACAATTTTAAAGAATTAGTAGAACAACAAGTGCACGAAAATGACGAAATTAGCGTTTTTGAAGATGAAGAGCAAAAATAATTTTCATCGGATTTTCTAAAAAAAAGTTTAGCCAATATAACGGAAATTATGGATCAGTTTGTACAAAATGATTTAAATTTTGATAGAAGTTCAAGTGCAAGAAGAAATGTCGTTGATGCGGTGTTTTGCTATCGACAACGACAATGATTTAAATTTTGATAGAAGTTCAAGGGCAAGAAGAAATGTCGTTGATGCGGTATCTTGCTATCGACAACCGCTTGTTGAACGAAACAGGAAGAGGCAAACGACGTTAGATGATTTCCTCACAAAAATACAAAGAATGTCAAATGACGAAGAACCTTTCTCATCACAAACACAACTTCTTTTCTCGAACTTTTTTGATTTTCATGAATGTTTTATAAATACAAATCGATATTAGCTTTAAATAAATCTATAATTAATGTAATAAAAAAGTATTTAACAATAAATGTTACAAAATAAAACCAAAGAGACTGATAAATTTTCTTATTCTCAGTTCTGTTTCACCTATCCCCATTATTTACGTGTAAATATTACCTCGTTTAACGCTGTTTCGTTTAGCGCTGGAACTTATTGGAATGTACCTCCCGCGTTAAGTAGGGTCTTACAGTATATGTAAATTTCTAAAACTGTTTTATATATTTTTTTATCTTCACTTTCATTGCGTTTTGATCAATTTAATACCTTTTCACCATAAATTCAGTCGTTATCTTTTTATAGAAATTGCATGCTCCATTGTCGTTCTAATTTCGTCTATAGAATCTGACAAAGTGTCGTCTATTCCATGCTATTTTATATTTACCTGCATAGCCAATTGTAACTTTTCTGCCGATCTCGTAATTCTTACAAAGAATATTGTATTCATGACTAGATTTTGAGTATATGTTCCAGTCATCCGCCATTATAATCGTAAGCTTCTTCATCTACACTTACGAGAGAAGTTAGTCTTAATGTCAACAAAACGATATACTCGTATTTATGATCACAGACGTACCTGCTTATGATTGTATATATAATTAATGTATTTGCAAATACACATCAGACTAATCACAAAAGGTGACGAACCCTCCATAAACGCATCAATATCACCTGCGAACCAAGCGGTAATCATACCGCCGCCCTGCAAAATTTTCAAAGGCTTGCGAGACTCCTTTTTATTATTGCCTTTATTCTCCCGATAATACACTCGAAAACAATAAGCTTCGCAAATATCAATTATCCAACATGATATTTAACGTCAACCGAGACAACACAATTCACATATAATTCACATAACAACAATTCGGACTAAAAACTGACATAATTATAACTGTCGTGTGCAATAATATATATAATTTCACAAACATATAATAATTGTTATTATCGTTCCTGACTAATTGGATAATTTTGTATTTATATGTCTCAATTCACAATAATGACATATCATCTACCACAATTAAACAAAATTATTAATATTTTGTTTGTATATTTTTATCTTTTAACCATCCTAATGAGATCATATGTAATCTCGTCATTAATCGTAGGAAAACTGCGAATTTGTGAGAATTGTATATAACTTTATTATCCCACTTCTTCTTATACATTTAGCAATACATAATTTCACGGGTTTTACATAATAAAATCTCTTAAAAAAATTAAATTTGCAGTTTATTAATATTATTTTATATAATGACTTTTTTAATCAATATTTTACCACATAGTATACGCCTTTTCATAAGTGTAGCCCTGTTTCATTGGAATAATTGAAGGCTAACTTCACGTTAGTCGCTATTATTCAACAAGAATTTATGAAAGTGAGTATTTACCTGGATAACCGCCTGGGCGAATACCAGGGGCGCGAAGATGATTTGGATTAAAGCTTTCTCCCGATTCTCCTGATACGGCCATTGACCGATGAGGCACATTAGGAACTGATTAATACGCATATATTGACCTTGAACGTTATCCATCCTAACTATTCCGCAGCAGGTATAGCACTGCTACGCTTGCAACAGAGCAGTGCACGCGCATGCACAAATGTACACGTACAAATACACATGTACGTGCGGTGAGGAACTCACTGGACTTCGTTATGCATTCCGTTTGGGCGAGCGCCGATGACGGCGCGTAATTGAGAAAAATTGTACCGCGAACGGAATTAAGTCGATACGTTGTGGCACATTACGAGGCACTTAAAAGAAACGATAAATTCTCTGCACACCGTACGGGATATTCTTTTTTACCGCCGTCGCGATCGTTACGTGTACACGAAAGGGGTTGAATTATGTTTCGATTTCACGGAAAGTTAAAAGTGCATCAGCAACGCTTCGCTTGAATTTCACAATCGTTCCTTGAAAGAGCCCAGTAGAAATTTCACTTTAATTTTTGCCCCAGTAAAATGTTGTATTGGAATCGACGCCGCTTTCCTTTAGTATTTTCAAGGGACTTGCTTTGCATAATAGAACTCCTATAGTGTTTCGTCAAGCAACTTCATACAATGTTCAAAACGGTGTTTGCAATGCTCGATCGCGTGTAAAGTATACAAAATAGTGAACAACATGGAATCAATTAATTCAAAAATATCTTGAAATAAGACGAAAATAATAAAATCAGCTTAGTAATACTTTTATGTTTCGTTAGTTAAAATAATGCTTGTTTATAAACCACGTGCGCACCACAGGCATATGAGAGTTTGCTTACGCCTGGACAAAGGTACGGCACTAAAAAAAAAAAAGAAAAAGTTAAAATTAATAATCAATCATTCTTAAATTATATATAACAGTGGAGATCATAAAACATGGATATTCTTTGTTATTAACATTGAGAATATTAAACATATATTTTAATTTAAGAATGAATACCACAGTATTACAAGGTTTCTGCACAAGCAAGTGATATATGGTTTCCCGAAGATTTTTCGGCACTGAAACGGAATCCGGCCTCAGAATTTCTCTAACACGTCAGGATTTTGAGATATCCTAACCTAAAAGTGCCAAAAACACGGTTTTTGCCTATATTTGAGGTTACATAGTACTATATTTCGTAAATATATCGTAATATATTTTTTTCCAGGAAAACTATATAGAACATTATAAAGTGTAAGTCTTGCTCTTTCAAATGCCGTTAAGTTTGCTCAAATATCTTTTTTTTTCACCGAGATATGTAACTTTAAACTTTTTTAAAATGTCTGAATTTTACAACGACTATTCCAACAAGAGCACAATAAGAAAACTGTTTCAACGCAAAAGCTAAAGAATAAATTGTATATCAATTGAAAGTTATTAAAAGAGGAAATATAAAGATATATTTAACACTAGCATTCATCGCCGCCACTGAAACATAACCTCAAAAAAATGATTTTTATCAAAATCACTTTTTTGTTAGGAACTATATAATGAAATAAGCCAAAATTTAGTTTGCAGCTCCGTTTTGATATAACGAATTTCGTAAACATTTTTAATATAGTTGAATATTAATCTAATTAATTGAAATCGTCCAATACAACTTATATAAAAGGCAGCTGTGTAAATAATTTATGCTAAGATGTCTCGACAGTATAAAAATCATCTTAATTGTTTTTGTTACATTTGTGGAGATTACATGGTCAGTAGCGAAAAATGTAATATTACTGAGAATATTAAGGAAGTATATTTTTTATATTTTTAATTAAAAGCAATCAACGGAAAGAATGCATTTACACCTAATTTGGGTTGTCAAAAGTGTAAATTGTCACTGTTAGCCTGGGCGAGAGGTACCGGTAAGGATATAAAGTTTGCAGTGCCAATGATATGGAGAGAACAAAAGAATCATGACTCTGATTGTTATTTTTGTTCCATTGAAATATACGGTTACAATAAATCGTTAAAACATAAAATAACATAACCTGTAGTAAGTTCTGTTTCAAAACCAATACCTCATGATGTTAATAACCCTGTTCCAATTGCTCCTCAAAAAATTGATAAGTCTTCTTCAAATCAAGGTACTAGTGCAGTTGACCACATGGAGGAGGATGTAATTGAAGACGAATTTGATAAGTTACAAGNCCTCTTTTCGTAAATCAAGAGCGATTGAATGAATTGGTATGTCTTTTGGATCTTGGAAAAGTAAAATCTGAACTTTTAGCTTCACGACTTGATGAATGGAACTTATTAGAACCTGGGACAAAAATCACTCTGTATCGTAACCGACAAAAAGAATACACACCTTACTTTGATATGTCAGAAGAATTATATTTTTGTTCAGATATTGAAGAACTCATGCTTAAAATGAACATTAAACGTTATCCAAAAAATTGGAGGCTCTTCATGGATTCCTCGAAATCCAGTTTAAAAGCTGTATTACTGCATATTGGTAATGAATATCCCTCTATTACTATAAGGTATTCTGTTGTTCATAAAGAGTCTTATAAAACTATTGAGTTTCTTTTAGATAAAATACAATACAAAAAATATAAATTGCTTATATGTTGCGATTTAAAAATAGTTGCAATAGTTACAGGTTTACAACTAGAATATACAAAGTAAATGTGCTTTTTATGTAAATGGGACAGTCGTGACAAAAGCTCTCACTTCAAGAAAAAGAATTGGCCATTGCGAAAAGCTGACAAAGTTGGTGAATTAAATGTACAAAATGAGGCATTAGTGCAAAGAAAAGACATAATTCTTCCTCCATTACACATCAAACTAGGGATAATGAAAGTTTACGTTAAAGGCTCAAAACGGATCAAAACGGTCAGGGTTTTCTGTACTTGAAAGAGAAATTTTCTAACCTTAATAATGAAAAAATCAAGGAAGGTGTATTCACTGGTCCAAATATAAGGAAACTTATACAAGACAAAGTCTTTAAAAATAAACTGAATGTACTTGAGCTGAAAGCTTGGAAAACATTTAAGACTGTCATTTCTAACTTTTTGGGAAATACCAAAAGTAGTAACTACAAAATACTTGTTGAAAATATGATTGACGCTCTAAAGAATCTTGGATGTAATGTGTCTCTAAAACTGCACTTATTACATTCTCATCTAAATTTTTTTCCTGAAAACTTAAGTGATTATAGTGACGAACATGGTGAAAGGTTTCATCAAACCATAGCTGCTTTAGAAAAGCGTTACAAAGGTAAGTCAATAATAAATATGCTCGCAGACTACATTTGATGTGTAGTTAATGCAGATGATGGGGTGAATCATAAAAGAAAATCACCAGGAAGTACTATTAAGAGAAAGAAATAAAAACTTACACAATTAGAAAATGTATTTTAAGAAAAACTAAAAAAATTTTTTTTTAATAAAAAAAAACAAAAAAAAACAAAAAACATAAAAAACAAAAAAACAAAAAAAGGAATGTAAACTCCTACTGACAACTTCCACGCTGTACATTCTGGGATACAATTAGAAAGCTAATGTCAGAGGTAAATCATATAACTATAGATGAAAGAATGGCGATTCGAATTCCNAAAAGCGTTACAAAGGTAAGTCAATAATAAATATGCTCGCAGACTACATTTGATGTGTAGTTAATGCAGATGATGGGGTGAATCATAAAAGAAAATCACCAGGAAGTACTATTAAGAGAAAGAAATAAAAACTTACACAATTAGAAAATGTATTTTAAGAAAAACTAAAAAAATTTTTTTTTAATAAAAAAAAACAAAAAAAAACAAAAAACATAAAAAACAAAAAAACAAAAAAAGGAATGTAAACTCCTACTGACAACTTCCACGCTGTACATTCTGGGATACAATTAGAAAGCTAATGTCAGAGGTAAATCATATAACTATAGATGAAAGAATGGCGATTCGAATTCCGTCATTTGTAGAATTTATTTATTCATTCTTCCCCCGACTCGGTGCGCCCAGAGTTTTGTGGGTTTGGAGGTTAGGTTTAATTGTTAATGAAAATAAAAAATGTTTACCAAATTCGTTACATTAAAACGGAGCTGCAAATCAA